TGAATAGGTATAATGGATTCCTACGTGATACTACTATGTTTGCATGCACTTGCGCATGCTCAATGCGTAAAATGATCAATATATTTGAAAAACGGTGACAATAATTTTATGATTTTTTATTGGTTCTTGGAATATATAAAGAAATGTTAATGATTTAGCAACATGCCATGATCACCTTGCATGTGAAAGCACGTGCTTTTGCGCGCAGTGCGTTAAATGACAAAAAGTTTATATCATTGTAGCTTTTAAAATTCTTTTATGAAATCCTGCAATACTGAGCATATTAAAAAAGTTTTAAAGGAAATTGGCACAAAAAAGGAGTTGGGGAGCGTTTGGGGAACATCTGTAACGGTCCCCGTTACAATTAGAACTAGTTTACTTTGATGCAACAGTTATCCTCAAATAAAACATTTTTTTGCATTGTTACTGCTAGGTAGTAGTTGAAAAAAAGTTATTGCAATATCCGTTCTAAGTTCTTCAGATAAACAGTAACAATTTTAAGTACTTATAATTAGTTGCCCGTAAAGTTGACTTGATATTAAATAATTTATTTTTAACCCCACAAATATAGATCTTTAACCCCACAAATATAGATCTTTAACCCCACAAATATAGACCTTTAACCCCACAATATACCATTTGTTTGAATTCCTAATGAAACCTCTCAAGTCACCACTGTACTATTAATAACCCCACAAAGCAAAATTATAACCCCGCACCTTCCGTAAAATGCACAATGTACCTCTCAACTGTACAGCTGTCCGTCCGTCTGTCCGTCTGTCTGTCTGTAAACTTTTCACATTTTCGACTTCTTCTCAAGAACGCCTGCGCCAATTTCAACCAAACTTGCCACAAAGTTTCCTTGGGTGCAGTGGATTCTAGTTTGTTCAAATGAAGGGCCACGCCCTCATTCAATGGAAGATAATTGGGAATCAATGAAAATTTGGTGGCATGTTTTGAAAATCTTCTTCTCAAGAACCACTGTGCCAGGAAAGATGAAACTTCTGGGAAACATCCTCAGGTAGTGTAGATTCAAGTTTGTTCAAATCATGACCCCCGGGGGTAGGGCGGGGCCACAATGGCCGACCAAAGTTTTACATAGAAATATATAGGAAAATTCTTTAAAAATCTTCTTCTCAAGAATAGCCCAGCCATAATTGATTATATTTATATTGAAGCATCCCCAGGTAGTGTAGATTCAAGTTTGTTCAAATCATGACCCTCGGGGGTAGGGCGGGGCCACAATGGCAGACCAAAGTTTTACATAGAAATAAATACGAAAATTCTTTAAAAATCTTCTTCTCAAGAACAGTCGAGCCATGATTGATCATATTCATATGGAAGCATCCTCAGGTAGTGTAGATTCAAGTTTGTTCAAATCATGACCCCCAGGGGTAGGGCGGGACCACAATGGCCGACCAAAGTTTTACTTTGAAATATGTAGGAAAATTCTTTAAAAATCTTCTTCTCAAGAACAGCAAAGCCATGATTGATCATATTTATATGGAAGCATCCTCAGGTAGTGTAGATTCAAGTTTGTTCAAATCATGACCCCTGGGGGTAGGATGGGGCTGTCATGGCCGACCAAAGTTTTACATAGAAATATATAGGAAAATTCTTAAAAATCTTCTTCTCAAGAATAGCCAAGCCATAATTGATCATATTTATGTGGAAGCATCCTCAGGTAGTGTAGATTCAAGTTTGTTCAAATCATGACCCCCGGGGGTAGGGCGGGGCCACAATGGCCGACCAAAGTTTTACATAGAAATATATAGGAAAATTCTTTAAAAATCTTCTTCTCAAGAACAGCCAAGCCATGATTGATCAGATTTACATGGAAGCATCCTCAGGTAGTGTAGATTCAAGTTTGTTCAAATCATGACCCCCCGGGGTAGGGCGGGGCCACAATGGCCGACCAAAGTTTTACATAGAAATATATAGGAAAATTCTTTAAAAATCTTCTTCTCAAGAATAGCCTTGCCATAATTGATTATATTTATATGGAAGCATCCCCAGGTAGTGTAGATTCAAGTTTGTTCAAATCATGACTCTCGGGGGTAGGGCGGGGCCACAATGGCCGACCAAAGTTTTACATAGAAATAAATAGGAAAATTCTTTAAAAATCTTCTTCTCAAGAACAGTCAAGCCATGATTGATCATATTCATACGGAAGCATCCTCAGGTAGTGTAGATTCAAGTTTGTTCAAATCATGACCCCCGGGGGTAGGGCGGGGCCACAATGGCCGACCAAAGTTTTACATTTAAATATATAGGAAAATTCTTTAAAAATCTTCTTCTCAAGAACAGCCAAGCCATGATTAATCAGATTTATATGGAAGCATCCTCAGGTAGTGTAGATTCAAGTTTGTTCAAATCATGACCCCTGGGGGTAGGACGGGGCCGTAATATCCGACCAAAGTTTTACATAGAAATATATAGGAAAATTCTTAAAAATCTTCTTCTCAATAATAGCAAAGCCATAATTCATCATATTTATGTGGAAGCATCCTCAGGTAGTGTAGATTCAAGTTTGTTCAAATCATGACCCCCCGGGGTAGGGCGGGGCCACAATGGCCGACCAAAGTTTTACATAGAAATATAGAGGAAAATTCTTTAAAAATCTTCTTCTCAAGAACAGCCAAGCCATGATTGATCAGATTTATATGGAAGCATCCTCAGGTAGTGTAGATTCAAGTTTGTTCAAATCATGACCCACGGGGGTAGGGCGGGGCCACAATGGCCGACCAAACTTTTACATTGAAATATACAGGAAAATCCTTTAAAAATCTTCTTCTCAAGAATAGCAGAGCCATAATTGATCATATTCATATAGAAGCATCCTCAAGTAGTGTAGATTTAAGTTTGTTCAAACCATGACCCCCGGGGGTAGGGCGGGGCCACAATGGCCGACCAAAGTTTTACATTGAAATATACAGGAAAATTCTTTAAAAATCTTCTTCTCAAGAATAGCCAAGCCATGATTGATCATATTTATATGGAAGCATCCTCAGGTAGTGTAGATTCAAGTTTGTTCAAATCATGACCCCCGGGGGTAGGGCGGGGCTGTAATGGCCGACCAAAGTTTTACATCGAAATATATAGGCAAATTCTTTAAAAATCTTCTTCTCAAGAACAGCCAAGCCATGATTGATTATATTTATATGGAAGCATCCTCAGGTAGTGTAGATTCAAGTTTGTTCAAATCATGACCCCTGGGGGTAGGGCGGGGCCACAATGGCCGACCAAAGGTGCTCAGGTGAGCGATGTGGCCCATGGGCCTATTGTTCCCTAAGCGGGGGACACAAATTCTCTGAATTAGCTTGTTAAGTTTTTTTCTTCAAACTGAAAATTGCCAATATTCATATTTGTTCATGAACTACATTTTATGAATATATTCATGAATAAAATTCATGAACTGTCTTTATGAACCAGTCATGAATCTGTTATGAATAAATAATGATTATTCATGAATGCTTCATAAAAGTTCCTGAAATTATGAATTTCATCTCGCAGGGGTGTATATCGGTTTTTAATTTCGAGCGAACTGGTAACTAAAAATAGAAATTTCTGTGAAATACTTTTAAAATGCTACTCCTCCTACAGTTTTGGTATGATTTCAATGTAACTTGGATACATAATTCTGATTATCAGTTTTTGATTATGATGAATGGTGTTTCCGACTGGTAACTAAAAACAGAAATTTCTGTGAAATACTTTTAAAATGCTACTCCTCCTATAGTTTTGGTCTGATTTCAATTTAACTTGGCACACAAGTAGACTACACTTAGATCGGTTTTTGATAGCAATGAATGGTGTTGCCATGGTTACTCAAAATAGAAATTTCTGTGAACTATCTCCTCCTAATTGTGAAAAAAATTAATTAGAGCTACTTCTATTGCAATCTTGCCATAAAAAGAGACTCAATCAAGGATCACTATTTTATTTACAGTAAAAGTTAGTACGAAGACAATTTTTGCGAATTTACGGATATATCGAAGTCATCTTGAATCCCCAGCAATATAAATTTAATGAATTTATTATATGGTTATAACAAATTACGGATATAGCGAAGTAATATCAAAGGTCCCAGTGACTTCGTTATCACAGAGTTTTACTGTATTGTTTTTGTAAAGTTTTATGTCCCAACTGCTACTTTTCTCTTCCATTATTATAAGTACAAACCAGTGGAGCTACAGTCTTGACAGAGACTTCTGGTTGTAAAGTTGGCTTGCCATATGTGCCCCTGCGAGACGATCATGAATAATTCATGAATTTCCTTGAATTTTTCATGAATTTAATTCATGAAATGTTCATGAAATGTTCATGAAGATCCTATGAACTTATTATTGGACATTTTCAAATCATGAATTTTTATTCATGAAAGTAAATTGATGAATATTCATGAATATTTTTTTTCATGAATAATTCATGAAGAGTCATATTCATGAAGATTCATCATTTCAAGAATGTCCAATAATAAGTTCATAGGATCTTCATGAACTATTCATGAATAATTTGATGAATTTTTTCAGGAATGTTCATGAATGAATAAAATTCATGAAGCATTAGCATTCATGAATATTCTTGCTTATTCGTAAACAAAAAATAAAATATTATTATTCATGTTTATTCATAAAAATGCATGAATTCATGCTAAAAAAAGTAGCAGTAAATGATTTATAATACAGCATCTTGAAAGATTTTACAGAAATGTTGTTTGTTTTCCAACCACGGCAACAAAATCTTTGTTAAAAAAATTAAAATAGACAATCTGACACATTAAACCATAGTAAATGAGTAATGTAGTTCATTCCTGGTAAAAGTATAAAAAAAATTCAATTCAAATGCAACTCTTTGCAGAATGTTTAACCTTACTTGGTCAAAAGGAGAGGGGGATCCTTCCTCAGCATGTTTTAAATTGTGTTTTAATGCCAGGAATTGAACAGTTTTTAATTCCAGTCTAGGAGAAAAGTTTGTTCAGCACCAGGGAAACAGTTTTCAGTGCTTTCAAGCAGTTCAGAGCAGAGATGGTCAATTCAAAAATCCTTATTGTCTCTCCATGTGGAATTTCCAGAATTTCATCATTTGGATCCTTTGATTGAATATCATTCATATTTTCATTTTTTTTTTTTTTTGTTTCTTTTTCAAGAGCTCAGATTTTTGTACAGCCAGAGTTTCTTCTCTTCTGCTCATCAACATTTGTGAACTGCTTCTCTTTTTCCTTCAAAAAGAAAGATTTTCTGAAAGTACCCATGATTGTAAAACATAAGAATTTTTTGTATTTTCTTGCATTTTAGATTCATTTAATTTTGCATCAGAGACACTTCCAAATTTAAACATTCTGAGTGGAATTTAAGCCTATTTTCTTGGACCGCCATTTTGTAGATCAATCAGCCTATGAGAGTTTTGAGTCTCAGTCTATAATTAATGTATGTTATATGGTTGGATCCAAGCTCAAAGCAAAGTTAGACAAAAATTGCATTGAAAAAAGAGACATATTAATTTATTATCATGTGCTTTAATTAGTTCTTATTTTAAAAATAGAAATTAACATTTACAGACAGATTTCTGACTCAGTGATTGTCTTCATTTTTTGTCACTCACCAGTTATTAAGTAGATCGATCCTATATATAGTCTTCCTTCTTCATATTCTGTTATTTTCTTTAAAAGTTGACAAAGATCAGTGACTGTACTGTTTATTGGACACACCTTGTGAGAGGGTGAAAAACTACAAATTACAAAAGCATAATAAGAATTTGACAAAATATCAAAATCATAAGTAATCTGCGTAACTTTAACATGTGAGCTGAACAGGCCTATGCCTATCGCATGCTGGAAATGCGCGGTTTTACAAAACATTGTAGTTGCAGAATTTAAACATGATAAAATATATTGCATAATACTGTTAGATACAGATGATCAAGTTTGATATAAATTCAAGTAAAACAATATAAAACTTACTCATTAGGGAGGCCAACATCACCAAACTTCACAGCCAAAACGCCAGGCCAACCGCATGGCTACCATAATTAGTATAAACAGAATATTGAACCCGATCGAAATAAAATTATACAATAAGAAAACGGCACAGTAACTATGCAAATGATAGATCACAAATACTGATTCTTCCACACTACAAATTCCCACTTCCAACGTCTCGCGCGTTTTCAAGTTTGCGCCTATTCAAAAATGTACGGTAGAGCTAAGAAATACCTTAGTTTCGAATTTCCAAGATTTCTGTTTAAAAAAAATTTCAAACACTATCTGAATAACTTTTCACTGAAAATACAATATTTTATATCAAAATAAGTTTTATCAATGAAGTATTCGATTTTTTTACGTCATAAATTATACATGTATTGACTTAGTTTCGTATAGCAAGTATGGCGGCCCCCTATGACATGATCATAACACTCTCGCCCTCAGACAGAATATTCTGAGCTGTGAAGACGCATAGGAGAATTAAAACTACAAAATACGAATGTGGATCATAGATCCTCTACAACCATGCAGTCTGTGCTCTATCATTTACGCACAAAGCAATGGAAACTTTTGACATTTTAACTGCACCAAAATTGAAATGTATGTAGCGTTTCGATCCAGGAATAATACGATACAGTACAGACAAGACTAGTGATATAATTTTAAAGTTGTTAATAAATATATATATAACGTTTTTTTACGAAGCTCACAAAGTTCATTTTCCAGAATGTTTCATTTTCCAACAACTTGTTTAATTTTGTTTGATGTTAGAGAAAATTCGGTCGAACAAAGTTGTGTGATGAAAAACGATATTAGTTAAAGCACATAATGATGAATATAACTGTTTAATTTAAATTATGAAGAAACACAAGTAATGCATTTGAAAAAAAAAATGCTGTCAATTGTGATGCAGTGTTTGTGTAATTAAAATCAAATAAAAACACTAAATGTTTAGAGATTTCATGATTTATTTTTTCAGATGGTGAAAGAATTATTATTAAACATATATTATACCGGGGGCTTGTTCAACAATTGCATCTGCATGCAAACGTTGTATTATGAGAGTATTGAGTGTTTTCTGTCAATCATTTTTGTCAATTATTTTAGTCTTCATGAAAATTCATGAACATTCATAATACCTTGAACTCTACATTTTTTCTGTCTTTAAAATGAAAATAACCAATATTCATATATATTCATCATTTGTTCATGAACTATATTTTATGAATATATTCATGAATAAAGTTCATGAACCAACTTTATGAACCTGTCATGAACCAGTCATGAACACATCATGAATGTTCATGAACGATTCATAAAAGTTCCTGAAATCATGAATTTCACCTCGCAGGGGTAAGGATGACGTTTACTCAGGTTTCAGAAGACAGAAAGTAAATTTTATAAAGTATAATTTGTTAAATCAAAGATTTTTCTAAATGGATAAAATAAACAGGTTTTAACTCAATTTCAATTTAAAGATTTAATATTTTATTTTTTATACAGGAACAAAAGTCAATATATGGTATTGCAGAAGAAATTCGGACTAAATTTTTAATTTTTGTCAAAAAATTTTATTTCTTGCAATATTAATTACATTTTAAAGGTTTCTTTTATTTTTAAACATCATTTTGCAAATATTATTTATATTAAAGCTCTTAAATTAATTTAAATATTTTAATAATATAAAATAAAGAAATTGAAAAATATGAACAAAAACCACTCCATACAACAGATCTCAATAATTTGATCATTGACCCCATATGATATTAATACCATCAGAATAAGGGCAACAAAAGTAACATGAGGCTATAAATAATTTAGAGTTCTTCTCATTCAGATTTTTGTAATATTCCAGTAACAAGAGGCCCATGGGCCACATCGCTCACCTGAGCAATGGAAAAAAGCAGAAATCAGTTTATTATTGAAAAGTGTAAAACCAAAAGTGGTCCCAACCCATCCTTAAAAGGGAGAGGGTATGATTTGAACAAACTTGAATCTACACAGATTAAGGATGCTTGCATATTTCTTTGACTACCTGTGGCTTTATTGCCCTTTAAATTTTAACTTACATTGTGGCCCCATCCAACCCCCAGGGGTCATGACTTGAACAAAATTGAATCTACACTACCTGAGAAAGCTTCCATATGAACATGACTAATCATGGCTTTGCTATTCTTGAAAAGAAGAACTTTAAAGATTTTTTCTACATGTTTCTATGTAAAACTTGGATTCAAAGGTGGCCCCGCCCTAGCCCCAGGGGTTATGATTTGAACAAAATTGAATCTCCACTACCTGAGGATGCTTCCATAAATATATGATCATCCATGCCTTTGTTATTCTTGAGAAGAAGATTTTTATAGAATTTTCCTATATATTTCTATGTAAAACTTTGTTCGGCAATTGAAGCCCCGCCCTACCTTCGGCTCAGGTGAGCTAAAAATGGGAGGAAAAAAATAGAAAAATGACAGAGGATATTCGGACTGTAATAATTAATAAGATTATGGCCCAAACTCTAATCGTTATTTTATATGAGGCATTTTCGATATTATCTACGATACATCAATACCAGGGTAAACTCTTCATATTCATAACACCTGACTGCTTTATTGTCATGGGTATCAGCATGGAATGTCAACCAGTGTTCTTGCTGGTTTATTCTTGCATTATCCTTCGTCCTCTTACGTACATTCATAGCTAAATATGCAGTTTCCAGCGCATGTGCAGATAATGACCACTTATTCATAGAAACAATAAAAGATTTCCCGCCTGACCACTCATCATAGTTAATTCAGTGCTTGCTCATAGAAGACCACCGGCGTTGTGTAACTTAACTCTTTTATTTTTACTTATTTGTGGACATTTTTATCTTTCATTTTGTGTGTTTTAACTTTATTATGTATGACAGTCAGGAGTATATTATAATTCAACATTGTTCGGACTCACCAAACTCACGTTCTAATATGAAATTGACTGCGATGGACCAAGAGATGCTGGCGCCATTTATTAACATGGCAGGGCACGCTGCCTCAGGGCAGCTCACCAAAGTGCCCACAGAGGCTTGAAGCCTTCAATGCCAAACATTTGTGGTTCAGATCTCACCTTTTCTGTGGCATTGCCACAACTGAGCAATGCTAGCTCAAATATTGGAACTTGTTTCTTGAAGCAACTACAGGTTGAAGATGCGTTTAATTCAATACGTCATCCATTTAATGGACCTGCTTTGGCACAAGGTTTGCCCATTTGATGGCTTCATCACTCTTCGCCCATATCTTGTATAAAATTCGTTGCCTACGTCACAATGACTTGCGTCAAAAATGTATCAATCCGCCTGACGTTACATTCAAATTTTGTACAAATTGAAGTCATTTTGTTAGAACAATCATCTTTTTTTCTTACATCAAATGATTGAAAATTAAATTTGGAAAAGTTGGAAAACCCAGTTTATACCGTATAAAATGGGTAGCTATTAAATTCATTCCTTAAATAAAAATATTATTAAAGAAAAAGTAATAAACATATTCTTTTGAAATTTAAAACATAGAAAGAGCAAGAGCCATCTTATGCATAAAATGGCCCTGTACTTATATCAATTAATTAACTATCACTTTCTTTCTCATTTCATATATCAAAATAAAGTAGAGACTTTGTGCTTTCATTGTCTATAAAAAAAATTTAGTTTTGAGAATCCAGATATTGGAAAACAGGTTTGAGAATTGCAATGTTCTTGAAATTTGCAGAAAACATGCATATTTGACTACCTTCAGCAAAGAATTAAAATACGAGCACAGCCCACGATCCAAAAAATAAAACATGTTTTTTGATCTTCAAAAACAGAGCTTTCATTATGTATTTGCACATTTTTGGATCAGAGGTTGTGCTATATATGAAATATTGAAATAATACTTCAACTTTAGGTCATTTTCAAAGGAATTTACAGGATATGAGGAAAATGACGCATTTTATGACGTCATAATGCAATGACGCGATGGGAAATTACGTCACAATTAACAGATACGTGGTCACCAACACTCCAAGTGATAAATACTGCATTTGCAACCTAAACTGATTGGTTTTGATTTTTCAGAAATTCTCAGGGCCAAATAAGGCCCAAAGTGGCTCTTGCTCTTTCAGAATATCTCCATTATGTACGTCATATTTTGTAATACTCTATAAAAATAGTAAAATTTGCTAATTTTTTACATTTTGAGATGCTCCCTCTGGTAACAAGACAGTAGAATTTTATGTTTCTTAGATATATTGTATATTGTAGTATTACTCATCAAATAATATAGTTTGAACAAAATGTCTATTGTAGTATTTGTATAATTTGCTTTAAAGTGCTTTAAAGTGCTAAAAATTGGCATTTTCCTATATAATTCTATAGTAAATGTACCTGTATTTTGTGACGGTCCCTCAAAAATACCTGGACGATAGATTTCCCCCAAACTTTGCATGTACACTGAAGTTAATGTAAGTTATAAATGGTATAAAAATGAAGAGTTTCGCTATTGTAATTTTCATACAATAAAGCTATAGTCGGCCCCCTTAAATAATGTTACTCCAAACATTTAAGTTCATAAAATACTGAAAATTTGGAAGAAATGTATTGTTTTTCTGATAAAAATGTCTCTCTTAGCATTTATGAAAAGAGGAATAACTCAATTTTCTTTTTCAACTCGGAAAAATAGAAAATTGAGTTATTTCCATTTTTAATATATCAATAAATTTGATCAATGCGGCCATTTTTGAACTGATGCGGCGGTGCCTGAGAAACTATTGATTGATTTTTTTTTTTGCCCTACATGTACACAAAAGGTATGGTTGTACATATTGATAAAAGTTAAAACATGTCTTCTGAACAGCAAAGGAAATTCTGGTCAATACAGTTGAACTACTTACCACTTTACCACTTTTGAAAGTAAATTTGTTGTGATTTTTTGTGAGTTTTCTTGACTGAATTACAAAAAAGAAATTTCAGAACAATAAAGTACTTGAAGATTCCTTGAAAATTTAAAACAATTTATCAATTAATTAAATGATTTCAGTATGATGTTATGTTTGACTTACAATGCCAAGATAATTCTAGAGTCGTGGCTCTAGAATTATGTTGACATAAAGACATATTTTTTTTCTAAATAGTACATAAAATGTATTTTTAATGCAACTACCAATTAACCATTATATGGAAGTGTGAAAAAAATTATTTGTCTTTGTTCCTTCATAGGTAAAGTCCGGCAAGGGTCTAGGAGATAAT